TATTTGTCCAAACCCATGGAGTGCACAACACCCAAAGTGAACTGTAATCTAAACTATGGACTTTAGGTTAGTTAAAGTGTGTTCATCTATGTTCAAACTTCATCTGGAGGTTTGGATGTTGAAAGTGGAGAAACTGAATAATTCTGTGTGTGCTACGCATGACAATTTGAAATTTCTAGTCATTTTCTGAGAACCTGAAATTGCTCTAAAATAGTCCTAAAATGTTTGGATTAAAGGATAGAAATATATACACAATGCTTATATAAACCAAAAGAAAACATTAGTAACTCTTTTTTTAAATACATGTCAAGAGTGGAATGCATTACAATCCTTATTATACATTAGCAACTCTTTTAATAAAAAGCAAAATATGATTCAAAAATACTACCAGAGATTAAAGAAGAGCATTTTGTAATGAGGAAGGGGTTAATTAATCAGGAAGATATAATGATTTTATTGATGTATAGCCTCAATAAGAGAATTTTAAAAATAAATGAAATACTAAAACAACTGCAACAAGAAATACACAAAAATTATAAGCAGACTTCATATCTCTTTCTCAGTTATTGATAGTAGACAAAAATTCAGACATGAGCTAGACCTGAATAACAATATGAAACAATGTGATGTAATTAATACCTATAGAGTGCTTAGATGCAAAATATCAGCATGCTACTTTTTAAAAAAATACACAAAATATTTGCCAAGTTGACTCATATTCGGGTTCATAAGCCAACTCATAATGAATTTTAAAGTATTTAAGTCATACAAATTTGTCTATAAATACACATTCCAGATTTATCTAGCAAAATTTCCTGCAACAAATGAACTGGCCATTCAATGTAGCATTGAGATAGGATGCAATACTGCTCAACAATAGAAAAGAATGCAGTATTGGTTCAACAAAGTTATGCATTTGTAACTAAATACATGGAAAGAAATCAGACCAAGAAAAATTACATAAACTGGAGTATATTCAATTAAAACTCTGGAAAATACAAATAGCAAACACACACAGATTTGTGGTTGTAAATAGAGAAGGGAAGGAGTGATTGTCAAGGTACAAGGGAACTTTGGGGATGAGCATACATTACTTATCCTATGATGATGTATTCATGGCTGGGTACAGGTATCAAAACTTATCAAGTCACTTAAATATGGGTAGTTTGTGATATGCCAATGTACCTAATGAACTCATCTAAGATGTCAAAACAGTAGATGGATTTTAAACTAACATCAATATCTTTACAGAAAAATCAAAAGATATCTTAATAATTTAATAGCCAGTGAATAACTGTTCAGGATCTCAATCAATCACAGATATCATGTAAGATAATCAGTCAGTTGAGAAAAGTTACTTCCTTACTTGGATGACTATGATGTGTATTAGGGCACTCCATCTATACAGGGATATGATTTCTCTATAAATCAAGACTACATTAACTGATTACATACACCAAGCAAGACATGAAAATTGCAGAAAACAAATTCTTAGTATTTTTTATCTAATATAATTTTGTTAACTAGACTAGGTTTTTATTTGAGGTTTTCCTGGATTCCCTGTTTTGATTTCCAAAATATTTAATAGTGTAATCACTCTTAGCCAAGAAGTCCCCAAGAGATGTCCAAAGTAAATTAGTTTTATGATCTTCATTGTGTTCAGATGTAGAATGGGAATTTATACTCAGGGGATCACTTCAGGTGGAAAATACATGTCAGGCTTCAGGAGAGCAGGTCCACAGATACAGCCTCATACAGCCTGGGCTATCATCTGCTGCACATATCAGAAAAGAATAAGAGGGGATCCAGTCCAAGAAAAAAAACTGTGTTTAGTAAATCAACTCATGTTCTTGATTCTCTTCATGATTTTTATTAAAATATTTCTGTATATCTGTTTCACATGTGCCCACTATGCTTTGAGATGAGAAGCTTATCTAGCTTCTGACATTCTCAGATCTCAATTCATAGTTCTCTATAAATTAAAGGCTTTTCCTCATCTCCCTTTGTTTCTGGAATTCCTACAGTATCTTAAACAACCATGGACCCAACACCATAATGCACCTCCTCAAAAACCACCTCAGGTCTCTGTGGGGTTTCACAGTTCTCCTATGGTTAAATCATCTGAGCAGACTTCAGAAATATTTATATAAATGGTCCTCCCCATTTAAGAGAATAATGTTTTTCATATAATGATGAGCACTGCAACATTACTCATAGAGATAGAAGTAAAAGGAGTTACATATTGAGTGAGAAGTGACATTATTAAATAAATAGATTAAAACTCATCGGTGAGAGTAAAGGAAGACATCATGAGCTGGTGGGAGGAACGTGCACTTTCTCACTGTGTACTTCACCCGGGGTATGTTTCAGTGATATATTAAGCTCTGGAGAAAAGATTCTTCTTAAAGTGTAAGTATGAAAAACTTCAGTTTTCATATAGAAAAATTATTCATGGAAGGACATTGCATATACAAGTTGATATTTTGTTGATTTTCATACTCCTGAGATACCAGTGCAATCAGTTTATATAAAATGTCAGTAGCTAATGTTTTAAAGAAAGTTTATTACATGCATTTAACTCACAGAAAATACTCAGCTGTACAATAAACTCTGGAATTAGTGTTGCTTTAAGATCCATCTTGAAAAATAGAGGAATAATTAATATTTATTACTATTCTCGGAAGACAACAAGTATATCTGTGTTGTATATGTTCTGGTACATCTTCTGGTTCATCTTCATTTCTATTTCTTACAGATATAGAAATGGAAGTAATAAAACCTTCCTTTTGAAGTCACAATAGATAATAGACTAAGATTTTAGGCTACACAGGACTAATTAAAGATTCTATAGTTACTCTAATTGTCCTAAATATTTTATTTAATATTAAGGGTAATATCATTTGTCCCCCAATATATATTTACAGTTACAGAACTGATTTTTTTAAAAGCTGTGTAAATTCTTATTATGAATTCTTCTCTGAAATTGTACATATTCATCTTTTCACAAATCTCTCTCTCAAACAGATAGACACTTGGTTTTGCTATTAGCTATCTTCTCTGTCACTTATTCAACAGGTTCAGAACTAGTTACTGAAAATTTCTCTTGAAAGGATTTTCTCTTGAGACCAAAAGAGACTTTTAAGAAAAGAAAGTCAGTTACAGAGAGAATTTCCCCAATAGTTATGAATCTCTTGGAAGTCATTCTAGAATTTTTTTTTTATTTTAGAAATTAGGTAATCTTTTCTATTATGGAGGATGTGTTTATTTGTAAGTTTTAAGGCCATTAACACCAGTCCCCTAATCTATTGTAAATGTATGTCCTAGGTAATTTTTTAGGAGAAATTTTCTTCTTATTGGTCTTAATTACTGCTTCTGAGGTCTTACTGTAAGGGTAGGGTAAGGTAATATACCTGATGAGTAACAGATATCATAATTTCCCTGCTCTCCATGGAAACACCTGGACATATCATAGTACAAAGGAGGGTGTGTCAGGCAAAAACTGAAACTTCCAGGAGAAGGTAATCATGAATGAGATCTCTCTATGGTCCATTTTTGGAAGAATATTGAATTCAAGCAGAGCTGAACATAAGCAAAATCAGTGTTAAGTTGAAAGATGAACAAAGAACTCTGAAATTTACCTATTGCCAACCCAGACTAACTCTCAGTGATGTACTTTGCTTACACATATATGTAATTTATACTCAGAAAACACAGATAATGGCAGATATATGAAAATGGATCTATATAGAGATAGACAAACAGATGGTGTTTCAACTTTGTTGGTCAAGAGATGGAAATAGTTCAAAATCTAGGCATTTCACAGCCTCCATGCATTGTAACAGAATATAAGTACTGTCTATTGATAAGCCTGACTTATAAGGAGCTTCTTTTTCAGAGTTCTAGAAGTCAAAATCTTCAAGTTGCTTTAAAATTTGATGAATGTCTTTCCATGTGGTGCTCCACTGATTGTTTTCCTTGTCAATTCACTTTTCTAAATTAGTTGATTCTGTGGTAGATTTTAACTAATGACAAATTATGTGCCTATTATTGTATCCCATTCATTATGCCCAAATATGTATTATATCCCCTTCTATATACTTTCTCTCATGCCCCACCATATAAGATTTAGATTTATGATAATAAATAAGATTTAGATTTATGATGTCTTACAGAATAGGTTCCACTGAATATTGAAAACATTGATATACATGGTAGAGAGAATTATCATGTTATCGCTATTCATTTGTACTGGATAACAACATCTATTCATTTCCTAAGTACAATAGTCAATTCTTATCTCTAGAGGACATATCTCAAAATATTCTGTAGATGACAGTACTGCAAATAGTACTGAAAATGTTACATAGTATATTTTTCCTAAAAATGCATACCTATCATGATGTTTAATATACAAACTAGAATAATAAAGAGCTCAACAATAACAAATAGTAAAATAGAATAACCATCACATATTACAAAAAAAAAACCTTGTGTGAATGTGATTATTTTTTCAGTGATTCAAAACAAATACTAACACTTTCATACTGAAGTTGATTTAAGGCAGCTGAAATAATGAAAATCCACTACTGCATATGACCTAATCATAGTTAATCAAAACAATGGTTGCCATTGATCTGCACAGATTAACTTACAGGAATGGTAGAAAGAAGCTAGTTTCCAGGTTACACCTAAGTCTTTTATTAGCCATATGTGTGTTTTCTTACTCTCTTCTTGTGAGAAAATCTATTTAATGATAAATAATTTGTGCAACAATCCCATCTTGGTCTCTGCATCCTGGAAAGTCATTCTTGGGCATTAACCTTTTCAAAGGGGTTATTATACAATGTATATTTGCACAACGTGTTTCTTTGTACTTATACCTTTAACTCTCTGATAAAGATGCTAACTATTGTGTGTACAATAAATATTAAAAATCATCCTTTCTCATATCACTAACTGACACTCTATCATACCTAGGTTCTTTCAGGTAACACAATAGAATGGGTGGAGAAAATCAGTCTGCAGTATCAGAATTTGTGCTTCTGGGACTCTGTCACTCATGGAATACTCAGATATTACTCTTTGTAATATTTTTGGTGCTTTATCTCATCATTGTTCCTGGAAATATTGTCATTGTGACCTCAATCATAACTGACCCTCATCTCTATTCCCCTATGTATTTTTTGTTAGCTAACTTGTCCTTTGTTGACATGTGGCTTTCCTCAATTACCACTCCTAAGATGATCATAGACTTTCTCAGAGAGGACAAGACCATTTCCTTTGGTGGCTGCATGTCCCAGGTCTTCCTTGCCCAATTAATTGCAGCACTTGAGATGGTGCTCCTGGTGGTCATGGCCTATGACCGCTATGTGGCCATCTGCAAACCACTTCACTACTTCACCATTATGAGCCTACAAAAGTGCATTGGGCTGGTGGTGACCGCCTGGACCATTGGCTTTGTGCATGCCCTGAGCCAAGTGGTTGTCATTGTGCACTTGCCTTTCTGTGGCCCCAGGGAAGTGGACAGCTTCTTCTGTGATAGACCACTGGTAGTCAAGCTCGCCTGCATGGATCGCCATAATATAGAAATTTTCATGAATATTAACTGTGGGTTTGTGGCTATAACTTCCTTTGTTATGCTACTGATATCCTACACACATATTCTTATCACAGTAAGCAAAAGCTCTAAAACTGGTGCATCTAAGGCCCTGTCCACATGCAGTGCCCACATCGCAGTGGTGGTGCTTTTCTTTGGGCTTTGCATCTTCCTCTACGTGTGGCCACTCAGCATCACCTGGATGGACAAATTTCTTGCTGTGTTTTATTCTGTATTTACTCCTCTCCTCAATCCAGTCATTTATACACTGAGAAACAAAGAGATGAAAAATGCTATGAAGAGATTCAGAAGCTACTACATAGATTGCAAGAGAAACACTTAATGCCTAAATATCTAGTGATCCTTCGTTATCATGGAATTATCTACTCAATCTTCTTATGTGTTTAACTTTGTTAAATGAGATCTAAATTTATTTTAACAAAGGAGTATATACATCCCATTGGGCAGCATCTTGATCACTTAATCAGGGAGACTTAACAATTGAAATTTTGTAAATGCCTTAAAGAGGAATTTTACAATATGGAAACAAAATCAGGTCAAAATACATAGAGAAATAGACAAAAATTCTAAATAAGTATTCGAATATACCTTTCAATAATTAATAGAGAACATGGTCAAAAATTCATGGAGATGTGGTTGATCTGAAAATCACCATGTAGAAATTTTTCAGCAAGTGATACATAGAACATTTTGACCCAAAACATCATAATAGTTCTTATTTTCAATGGCAAACAAAACATACAATGAGTTGGACCATATTCTAGGCTATAAAATAAGTGTCAACAAACTTTAATATATTTGGGTCACAAAGAAATTTGTACTGAAATTTTTATAAACAACTTTTTTTAAAACAGGGAGAGAGCGAGAGAGCTAGAGAGAGAGAGAGAGAGAATTTTAATATTTATTTATTTATTTATTTATTTTTTAGTTTTTGGCAGACACAACATCTTTGTTTGTATGTGGTGCTGAGGATCGAACCTGGGCCACACGCATGCCTGGCGAGCGTGCTACCGCTTGAGCCACATCCCCAGCCCAATATAAACAACTTTTTAAAAAATATTTTTAGTTATAGATGGACACAATACCTTTATTTAATTGTTTATTTTTGTGTGGTGCCAGGAATCGAACCCTGTGCCTCATGAATGCTAGGCAAGCGCTCTACCAGTGAACCACAAACCCCAGGCCCTATCACAACTTTATTTTAATGGTCCAAAATGAAAACAGCCTAATATCTCTCACCAGATGAATCAAAAACCAGATTACAGTACAAACATAAAATAGAACACTGCTGCTCAGAAATAAAAATAAGTGTTCTGTTCATAAACACAATATATGGGTGAAGGTATACTGAGTGGTAGATACCAGACCAAAAGGAAGACAAACTTATTATATACTACTTATATAAAATTTAATTTCCATATTTATAGAAAATGTAACATGAAGTGAGGAATAAGACACCCATTAATGTTTGTCTTGGAGAAAGAGTGTGTGGAGAGACTGAGAAAGGGGTTATCAAGGAGCAAGGCAACTTTGGGGGAACGAGGCATAAACATGTCCACTAGCCTGATCATGGTGATGTTTTCATAATTGTGAACATACATAGGTAAAAGTATATTGAACAGAAGATTTTTATGAACCATTTAATATATATCAGTTGCATCTTGAGAAAGTTGTTTTATCATTTAAGAGGTCAAAAAACTGTATTTTAAACTAACATCTATTTGATTTTTAAAACATCTAAGGATATTAATAATTTGACATGCAGTGCATAACTGTCAAGACATCAGGTAATCATAGATAATATTTTTAAATATTAAAGTAAAGCACTTGCCTGGCATGCACAGGGTACTGGATTCGATCCTCAGCACCACATAAAAATAAAATAAAGATGTTGTGTCCACCGAAAACTAAAAAAATAAATATTAAAAAATTCTCTCTCTCTCTCTCTCTCTCTCTCTCTCTTAAAAAAATACTCAGTGGACCAAGATTAGGAGCCTATTTAGACAACTTTGAAATGTATTTGGGTGCACCAAATATTTTTTTGCCTTCATTTTTACTTTTTTTCATTATTATTTTTATTTGTCCTTTTTAGGTATACATTAGAGTACAGTGTATTTTGACATATTATAACACATGGTGTATAACTTATTCTAATTGGGATCCCATTCTTCGTGGTTTTAAATAAGGTGAAATTTCACTGGTAATGTGGTAGAACTGCAAATTGGTGCAACCACTCTGGAAAACAGAATGGAAGTTCCTCAGAAAACTTGGAATCAAACCACAATTTAACCCAGTTTTCCCACTCCTTGGCACACACTGAAAGGATTAAAATCAGCATACTACAGTGATACAGCCACATAAATGTTTACAGAATGTCATTTCACAACAGCAAAGCTTTGGAACCAACCTAGGTGCCCTTCAAAAGATGAATGGATAAAGAAAATGTGGTATATATACACAATGGAATATTACTCAGCCATAAAGTAGAGTGAAATTATGGCCTTTACTGGTAAATTGATGGAACTGGAGATTATCATGCTAAGTACAATAAGCCACCCCAAAAAAATCAAATGCCAAATGTTCTCTGATATATAGACACTACCATACAATAAGGTGGTAGGAGGGCAGATAGAAGTTCAATGGATTAGACAAAGGGGAATGATGGAAAGGGAGTGGAGATGGCAGTAGGAAATACAAGAGAATTAATCATATATAAATTTCCTGTGTTCATATAATAGTAATATTCAAAACCACCAATTTTTAATCATGAGTTGATTTATTTGAGGTATCTCTGGTTTCCATGATCTGATTTCCAAAATATGCAACACTTGGTATTATTCAATATAGCAGTCCTCAAGAGATGCCCATAGTAAATTATTTTTATGATTCTTGTTCTGTCCAGGATACAAAATAGGTAATTTCACCCAAGGGATCACTTCAGATGGTGAATATGTATCATGCTGAGGGAAAGCACTTCCACAGACACTACCATTACCCAACAATGATATTATCTCAATAACACTTTAGAATAAAAGACTAAAAGAAATCTGATCTTAGAGACAAGTTATTTTTAGTAAGTCAACTCATTTCTCTGATTCTCCAAGATATTATTAAAATATTTCTAGGTTTCACATGTTCTCACTATGCTTGGAGCAAAGAATGACTTGTTTAGTCTCTGAAAATCAGAAACTAGTCCATGGGTTTTCTCCTCATACCCTACTCTTACTGGAATTTCCGTGGTTTTATTAGCACACACCACCAAAATGCCTCAGAGACAGTCCCTGGATGGCCACTCCATCTGAGCACCTCATAAAAATAAAATAAAGATGTTGATGTTACTCCATCATAAATAGTATTTTATGTAAAAAGACTGTTAGTAAATACAGAGAAGCAAAGAGGATTACCTATCACATGTGAAGTGATATAAAACTCAGTTGGTACATGCTCAACATGACTAAAACTCATAACCTAAGAGCAAAGGAGGACATGGTGAGCTAGTGGGAGAAACATAGACTTTCCTTTTGTACCTCATCCAGTGAAGAATATTTCAGGCAATCTTTAGAATTTTCTAAATTTAAAGTTTCTCTTTGTAAGACATAAATATTAAGGATCTACCAGGATTTTAGGACTATTATTAGTTTAAAAATTTACTTCTAGGTAAGAAAATTGTACCTAGAATAAGATGATTTTTTTTGCTATAGTTTAAACCCCATAAAGAAGCAAGTCAGCTTGTGTCTTTTCCCTTACTTTTCAATGTAATTATTTCAAGAGATAAAATTACCCCCCTACACACATATTGTGGAAGTCACTCTGAGTTCAAGGTACAAATTTCCAAGGTGATTTAATGGCACCATTTATCCTATTGCCCTTTTTAGTTCCTGTTAAAATATCAATGGCTCCTGGGAATAGCAGGGTGAAAGTAAAGAAATTGGCACATTTCTATAAAGCAAGCAGCATGTAGGACATGTCCTTTGATGTGTATACCAGATAGCCTTGCTGAGTATGTGTGTGTTAATTTAGAGAGAAGGTAATGAGCATGTTTCTGAAAGTTGTCTTATATTTTTGTTTTACAGAAAGTCCTTGTCTGTGCAATAAAAATTTTGTCAAAAAACAATTGGAAACTACTTCTGTAAGATTGAACTGAAAGAACAGAGAGGGAAAATGATTAATATTTATTAAAGATCGACTGAAAAGTCATAAAAGCTTAACTTCTCTATAGTTCTGTCTTATCTAAATACATTTTAGATTGAGTGGCCTCAAGGTTGCCCTTTTGATCAAGGTCACAAGGTTAGTAAGTAAGAGTGAGATTTCAGACCAATATGACAAATTAAAAGGAAATAGCTAGTCTACTAATATTCCTAACTATGCAATTAATATTAATGATATAAAATTAACTATTATAAAATTGAAAACAGCTAATAATAAAAAATATGATTTCTTCCTGGTAAATTGTTCCCTAAGAAAGTAAATATTCATATTTCAGCAAATTGCTCTCTCAAACACAGTTGAAATCTTTTTTTTTCTTTTTAATACATTTAATTTAATTAATTAATTTATTTATTTTTCATGTGGTGATGAGAATTGAACATAGGGCCTTGCACGTGCTAAGCAAGCTCTCTACTACTGAGACACAACCCAGGCCCCTGAAGTCCTTTTTCCTATTAGTCATTTTCTCTTTCTTATTCCAACAGAACAGATCTAGAACTAACTATTGAAAACTCACCCTGGACTGTTTCTATTGATAAGAAATTAAGTTTATGGAAAAAGGGCTTATCAAGAGAGGAAGAACATTGGGGGTTGAAGCCCATGTTCACCAGGTTGACTGTGTTTATCTTTTCGGGCTGCATATATATTTCAAAATGTATAAAACTGGGCTGGGGTTGTGTCTAAGTGGTAGAGCACTCCCCTAGCAGGTGCAAGGCATAGGGCTGGATCCTCAGCAACACATATAAACAAATAAATAAAATATATATATATATATATATATATATATATATATATATATATATATATATATTAATGCATAAAACTGCACACTATGAATATAGGCAAGTTATTATATGGCCAATTGCACTAAAATAGAGGCTTTGTTAAAAATATCTCAGATGGGGCTGGGGTTGTGGCTCAGTGGTAGAGCACTCGCCTAGCATGTGTGGGACCTTTGGTTCTATCCTCAGCACCACATTTAAAAAAATAAATAAATAAAGGTATTGTGTCCAACTATAACTAAAAAATAAATAAATAAAGATCTCAGATGTCACAATGCCTGTATTTTAAATTTTCTTTTTTTTGTTTTGTTATTGTTGTTGTTGTTTTGGCACT